CGGTTATTTTGGTATATACTATATTTTGTTAAGGGTATTTTTTGGTAAGAAGAAAAGTCAAAAATGCTTCTGCTTCTGCTTTTGGGAAGAAACTGCTTCTGCTTCTTCACAAAAGCACTTTTTTCCCCCAAAAAAGCTTGGCCAAACACCTCAAGTTAGGAAAAAAAGTACTTTTGAGAGGAATAAAAAACACTCTTGGCCTCTTGAGAAGCTTCGCCAAACAGGCTATAAGTGTCTCAATTCATTTCAAAACCTCACCGAACCCAAACCAATTACCCCGGCAAGTCATATAACAACGTTAAAGCCTAAATTGAGCAGTAAATAGGGGAACAATGCTGTAATATTCAAAATGACTGGCCGGGTCATTACAACACCAAAATACCATTTTAGGACTTTTGACAGATTTTCGACCTAAGGAGGCTAAGGAGGAGTGGAAAGAACACAAGCACAAGGATTTCATCATTCCTTCCTCACTCAAGATCCGAGTTTGGATTGAATTTATGTTTTCTTATACTTTAGTTATATTTGTGAAGAACTTCTCCATGTCTATGGAGTAGTTCCTTTTGGATTTTGATGGATTTGGTGTATTGATGATTGTTTGTGGATTATAACTATATTTTTATGTATTTGATTTTTGGAAGATTTAATTGTAGCATCTATATTCAATTGTTCTTCTAATCTAAGGAGGCATAACTTGTGATATCTTTGCATTATATTGTTGGTTGAGTTCATAGATTCTTCTAAGTGATCTAAAGAGGCTACTTGAATTATTGATTAAATCGAATTAGGAGAATAATCGAAAGAGGTTTTTCTAAAGACCGATCCACTACGCATTCTTGCATATCTTCATAGAGCTTAAATTGGTCAATATTGTGAGGTTGAGACTTAATCGAGAGAGGAGTTTCTACTAAACAATTGTACTGATAAGTAAATAAATTCGAGAGACTCACCTGAACATTAGAAGTGAATTATCTAGAGTTAAATCCCAGACAATTATCTTGCACTTATCCTATCAAAA